TCCCTTTTTACCCTGTTGGAGAAGTTTTTGGATGTGCATAGGGATTTGAGTCTTAGAAGGTCCCATTCATCTACGTTATCTTCTCCTGGTTGTAGGTTGCTTTGGATTCTTGATGCTCCAGTGCAATATTCAGAGTCTCTTCTGACATCTATTTTGGTCTTTTCTTCCTCCTCTGTCTTTGCAATGACCTTTTGAACTCTTCTTGGGTGATAGTCTTGATATCTTCCCATAACTCATCTGGTCTTTGCTCTTTAGTGTTCAAGGCCTCAAACCTGTCCCAGAGATGGTTCTTAAATTTAGGTGGAATAGACTCAAGGTCATATTTTGGTTCCTGTGGGCTTGATTTCACTTTCCTTAGCTTCAGCTTAAACTTGCGTATGAGTAGTTGGTTATCTGTTCCACAATCAGCACCAGACCTATTTTTCACAGCTGAGATTGAGCTGCTGCAGTGGTTCTTTCCACAGATATAATCTTTCTGATTCCCATGCATACCGTCAGGTGAAATCCATGTGTATAGCCTGTGTTTATGTTTCTTGTAAAATGTATTTTCAATGAATAAATTGTTGATTGTGCAAAATTCTATCATCCTATCTCCAGCTTCATTTCTGTCACAAAGTCCATGCTTTCCAACTGCTGATCCTTCTCTGTTCCTAACTTTTGCATTCCAGTCACCCATCACTATTAATACATCTTGATGGAATAGATAGATTAGAAGAGGCTATTACTTGGTAAGGGCAATCATGTTTGGAAATGTGGGAGATCAGTGGAACAGAGGAAAACCTTCGATGAGATAGACTGATACAATGACAGCAACAGTGACGCAGCAGCGGGCTTGGGTATGTCAGAGCAATGAGGATAGTATAGGATAGAACAGGGTTCAGATCCATTGTTCATAGGGTTTCTATGCATCATACTCTCTTAAATGGCACATAACAACTATGTTCTTCAAACTACCCCAACTAAATATTATTTCTTTCAAATAATTTTTTAATAAAAAAGTATGGCAATCATTTAGGAATTGTATTCCCTAACACATACCTAGAGAATAGTTATTTGATGATGTTGGTTCAGTTAGACCCCATTAGTTGTAATGGAGTACTATCCAAGGGAAGGAGTGACATTTTCTTTTGAAAGCTAATGAGTCTTTTCCCTTGGATTTACATCTCATTAAGTTTATTGTGCAGTAAAATAGCGACTACATTTACTAATTTTTTTTTAACTTTTCCTATGTGCAGAAAATTGGAGATTCATACCGTGGCTACTGTATTAGTGAGACTGAACTAGAAAGTGTACTAACATTTCATAAGCAACAGACACAGAGTGTTTGGGGGACTCGCCAATCTCCAAGCCCAGCCAAGCCTGCTACACGCTTGATGTGGAAATCCCAGTACGTTCCATATGATGGAATCCCATTTGTTAATGCAGGTACTTTTTGTAAAAAGTATTATAAAGTTTTCAACTGAAATAATGTGAAAATATCATTTTTCTGATATGATATATTTTCATTTTATTGTTGATATTTGAGTCAGAACTGACTGATAGCTGACCCTCCAGTGGGTTTTCAGAGGCTGTTAGTTGTGTGAAAGGAGATTTCCCATCCTTCTCCCACAGAGCAGCTGGTAGACTGGAATGGCATGCCTTCAGGATTGCAGCACAGATTCTTGCCACTAGGCCATCCAAGCTCCCTATATTTTCATTTTAGTAGATATTAATTGAGTTTAATTTATGAATATGCATATTAAACTAAAAATAACATTTGCCGTCAATATAGTAATTTATATTATAAAAAAGACATGTTTTTTTTATGTTTACCTGGCAAGGGAGATATGTTCCCAAAGTGATTTTCCCAGGGTAAGGCTTATCCATTGCACTCTCGATGTGCTGATCCCTGTAATTTACCCAAGTGTTGGAAACTCGACTGCGTAATTTGTGGTATTGGGGAACTGTGTTTGTTCTTTCCCCTAAATAATAAAAAAAATGGCATTTTAATGTGCTAGAATGTGTAAACATATTTCTTCCTTAAACATTTTTCTATGATTATATAAAATGGTACAATCACAATGGAAAGTAGTATGGCACTTTGTTGGAAAGTTGGGAATAGAAGTACCATTTGATCCAGCAATCTCACTACTAGGTTTACATCCAAAAGAAATTAGTGCTACAAGAGAAACTGATACATACACATCAGATTTAATGCCAGATTATTTACAATAGCAAGAAGTTGGAAAAAATGTAAGTATTCATAAGCAGACAAATGACTAAAGAAACTATGATACAGACACATTGGAGTATTATGCATCACTAAAAAAAATTCTAAAGAACTCTTGAAATCCTGCACATAACATTGATTAATCAAATCTAAAAAAGAAATAATGCTGAATGACAAAAGTCCCAAAAGAACAGTTATGGTGTAAGATAAAAAGCAACAGGTCATGTTCCAGGGAATCTCCCTTATAAATGCCATTGCATTTCAGCCCAATCCCCTGATTGGCAGATCACTTCTTGGTCAGTCATGGCATCAAATCACTGAAACTTACACTGTTTTGGAGAAGAAGACATTATTTAAAATAATTTGCATTTGAATCTTGTCTCCTGTCCCTGATTAGTTGTCGTTGGGTTTCTGCACTTCCAGTGTCATCCTCTTCTTCTACTTGGCCCATTATGTTGTCTCTGAGGACCCTGAACCCAAGGCCAATGTGCCCAAAGCCCAAGAAGTGCTAGTAGTCAGTGTCAGCACAACTGGGAGGCTGAAGGATGTATTGAGGACCAATCTGGGGCCAAATGCACCATGAAGATAGGAGTTTCTGGCACCGGAAGCATCGCACTTATTGAAAATAGTAATGTACAGCTTCATGAAATATAAAGTCAATATTTAACAACTTCCTTAATAGCAAAAAAAAAAGTAGCAGCGTCTTGGATGATGTCATTGATAATGGTACTACTTTCTGTAACAGAACTGCTAAAACTGGTAGACCTCTGTATTTCCAAAGTTCTACATCCCAGAATAATAACTTGAAACATATGAAATTGCAAAAGAAAAATACTTTGGTTTTTGGAACAAATTAAAGTAAGTGAAAGAATGGACAAAGAAACACTTCTGTGACCAGAACATTCTTGAACACTGAACTTCATGTCAGACTTGCTAATGTCTTAATAGAGGTTGTCATTGATTCCGTTGAAGCCATAAAAAAACCAAGATGAACCTACTACACTTTCCATGGTTGAAATCATGGAGGTGAAAAATGAATAAAAAACTCATACAAGCTTAATCCAAAGACTTGTTTTGGACCATGGCGTATACCGTTCTGATAAAGAGAGTAGAAGATGTGTACATCCTCACATGCAGTGTGTCCTTAGAATATGAGCAAACAGAAGTGAATTCTGCCTGGCATTTCTTTATAAGAATGCAGAAGAGCAAGAGAAACTTCCTTGTAAAAACGGAAAGAAAAGTCAATGACAATGGAGTGTCTTTTTTAAATTATAAATCTCAAAAAGAAAGTACAGTAAAGACAAAAGAAAATAAAATAAAGAGCAAAAGACAAAAAAAAAAAACGCAAGAAAGTCTGGTGATTCCAACAAAGGATTTCTTGTTATTAATCAAAAGAAATTGGGTCCTTTTCCTTGGACACCATTGTAGAAGAGACATGGTAGCTTTATGCAAAGCTAGTTGGAAAAATAGGGAGAGGCTGATGTTTGCCTGCAGTGGGTGGCTCTCAATTCTTTGGATGACCTAAATCGTCATTGTTTGGACTAAATAAGAACCACATAAGTACATGTTCACCCAGTTCAAAGATGCTATAGGAGATGGGCTTGAGAGCTGTCAAGAGTGCTTCCGATGATGGCTGTTTTGGTTCCTGAGGCTGGTGTGGTGGAAGCAGAAATGACAGAAGCTCTGACGAAACATAAAGCCCCCCAACAAAGGAAGAACCCATCTTAGAGTCCAGACATTTGCTGTAGCCAGTGGTCATTATTTCCAAGGTTCTTTTTTTTTTTTTTAAAATTTTATTATTTTTATGTGCAAATTGGATCTGACTGGTACAGGAGGAGATTGTCCCTCCTTCTCCAGCAGAGCATCTGCTGGATTTGAACCGTGCACCTCTGGGATTGCAGTGTAGCTTCCTGCCACTAGGCCACCAGAGCTCCCTTATTTCCAAGGTTCATGCTCAGACTTCTTGGCTCAAACAGATAGTGGAGACGGCATAACCACTTCATCAATCCATTTTGCTGGCTGACCGTTTTTTGCTGATCTAGTTTACTAAGCCTGTTGTCTTTTTCCAGGGACTGGTCCTTCCTGGTAGCATGTACAAAGTATGTAAGATGAAGTCTCTCCATCCTTGCTTTTAAAGAGCGTTCTGGCTGTACTTCTTCCAAGGCATATTTCTTTAATCTTCTTTATTTTTTATGTCCAACGTTTACATGTATGTGTGGAAAATACCATGGCTTGAATCAGTCCTCAAGGACTTACAAGTTTTGCTTTTTTTGTTTGTTTATTTGTTAATAATTTTAATGAACATTTACAGAGATTTTGGATTTCCATTCATTCATTGTACACTTCTCTCCCCGCCCAGTTCTCCCCCTCCCTACCCCCACCCCCCGCAGTTCGCTCCTCTCTTAAAAGTAAAAGAAACACTCCCTCCCTGCTACACAATCCCCCCACCGCCCCAAGTAAATTCAAGTTTTACTTTTTATTGCTCTAAAGAAGACCTTTGCAGCAGATGTGCTTAGTTCAATATGACATATTGACACATGTTACTCAGTATCATATATTATTCAATTATATGGCTAAATCACAGTCATTTTTAAATTGGTGATAATTTTTGTTGTTTCCAGCTTTTACTGTTGCAAAGTATGTCATTAAATGTCTTTCATGTGCATCTTCTGACAGGAAGATATAATAGGTTGTTCTAGAATGTATACTTTAATGTAGAATGGCTTTCATGTGCCGTATGACCATTTCAAATTTATAAAATAATATCAGTTTGCTTTCTAAAATCTTTACACAGGTCCAGAACCCAACTCTGAAAATTTTGAGCCAAATGTATTTTAAAATTCAGAGCTTTTGAAAGGTAATATGAAAATATAGAATAATCCTAGGCACTATCCTATGAACAATGTTACATAATCAAATACAGTAATATTTTGTAGATAATTACACTAAGAGGAAAAAATAAAGACTACCAATGACATTACACTTACTCTGCTCTGATTAGGTGTTGTTGGGATAGGAATGAGTTACACAAATCTTTTCAAGAGGTTTTTTTTATATCTCAAAATTGTAAATAGCATATTGAAGCCCTTAATAATTTTCATTCCTATTCGCAGTGTGTGAAAATTTCCCTTCCTCACATCTACTCTATGGGCTCAGTCTTAATAAGTCTCTATATTATGCAAATTTTTAAAGGTATACCCAAGTTTGATTTCACTTGCAAGCAAGATTCTACTAAAAATTATCAAAAAATGACTGGAACAGCATATCAGCAGAGAACTGCCAGAAGTCCAGGCTGGGTTTAGAAGGGGTCTTGGTACTAGGGATATTGTAGCTAACAATGTTAGACGGATCTTAGCTGAAAGCAGGGGGTACCAGAGGAATGTATATCTGTGTTTCATTGACTATGCAAAGGCATTTGACTGCCATAACAAACTATGGCTGCCTCTGAGAAGAATGGGAATCCCAGGACACTTGATCATGCTAATGCAAAATCTATACTTGGACCAAGAGACAGTCGTGAGAACAGAGCAAGGAAATACTGCATGGTTCAAAATTGGGAAGGGTGTACACCAGGGCTGTATCCTGTCTCCATACCTTTTCAACCTGTATGCAGAACTGATTATTCAGGAGGCTGGGCTCTATGAGGAGAAATGTGGGGTCAAGATTGGTGGACGATTTATCAACAATCTGCGTTATGTAGATGACACAACCCTGCTTGCTGAAACTGAGGAGGACCTGAAGCATTTGCAGCAGAGGGTCAAAGCACTGCAGCCTTCAATATGGATTGAGACTCAATGTCAAGAAGACAAAGATTCTCATCACTGGGCCAATTGACAGCATCAGAATGGATGGTGAAGAGATTGAGATTGTTCACAGCTTTAGTTTGTTTGGCTTCACAGTCAACACTCTTGGCACCAGTAGCCAGGAAATTAAAAGATGTATTGCGATAGGAAAGTCTGCTGTTAGGAACCTCTCCAAAGTACTGAAGAGCAGTGGTGCCTCTCTGGAGACAAAGGTGCATCTGATACAGGCCATGGTCTTTGCAGTCACTTGTTATGCATCAGAGAGTTAGACGATGACTAGGGAGGATAGAAGGAGAATTGATGCCTTTGACCTGTGGTGCTGGAGAAGAGTGTTGAGGGTACCATGGACTTCTAGGAAAATGGATTCATCCTGGAGAGGGTTACACCAGGTGGCTTCTTGGAGGCAAGGATTC